CCGAATCACGTCCAATGGTAGGTATCGGAGGTGCCGAGCCTCCTGCTCCTAGGGGACAAGCGGAGTTGGTGTTTGGCCCTGCCAGCGAGCACCTTAACATTCTAGTTAAAGTAAATGTCCTTGATGACATTGTAGGTTTTCTCCCTAACGTCCGTATAAATGATAGCGCGGTTCGTTGTGCGTCGGGTTTGAGACCAGCAGACCCTCAATGGTCCCAACCTGAGCCTATATATAAATTTGTTGCTGGGGGCCGACGCGCTGGGGTTCATCTTGTTAGGCGAGATACGAGCCCTACAGCCCGATGGCTTGTCAGCCATGTCCACTGTATTTGGGCACAGTTTCTTTGGACCGGTTATGTGGTCTCCACCTCCTCAGACGGCCGACCCGCTCTCTGTGGTGGGCGTGTCCCTTTCGGACGTCCGTTCAGCGGTTCTGGGAAATTGAGGAGCCACCACACGCGCCTCGAGTCAACCCTCTGGACCGTGAGTGCGAGTTGTTCTACCAGAACAATACCGGCCGTCGTGTCGACGGTCGTTTTGTCACTCGCTTACCCTTTCTTGACTCACGGCCCTCTTTGGGCCAATCTCGTATCCTAGCCGAAAAGAGGTTACTTTCCATGGAGAGCCGTATGCGGCGCGACCCAGCCTTTCTCGACAAATATGTCGAGTTCATGCGCGAGTATCAAGAGCTTGGTCACATGTCACCGTCCAACTTCGACTGGCGGTCACAGGAGCACTATTTCCTCCCTCACCATGCGGTCTATAGGACCCCTGGGAGTAAGATTCGGGTAATTTTTTACGGCCCCGCCCCTCGTCAAATGGTGTGTCCCTGAACCAGTGTCTCCACTCTGGACCTAAATTAATCAAGGACATATCTGACATTTTGACCCACTTCCGTCGGCACCAAGTGGTTTTGGTAGCCGACATTCGGATGATGTTTCGACAATCAGTGGTCCATCGTGATGACCGTCGATATCAGCTGATATTGTGGCGCGATAAGCCCAGCGATCCGATACAGGTGTTTGAGTTGAACACCACCACCTATCTCGGACTCCGGTCCACCCCGTATATCGCCATGCGAACCCTCCTCAAACTCGCTGAGAGAGAGCGTCTAAAATGCGCTCGGGGGGCTTCTATTTTGGAGACTTCGGTCTACATGGACGACATTTGCACGGGCGCCTCCACCGCCGAGGAGGCTCTTGTATTGCGAGACGAATTGATTGCCATCCTGAAGTCCGGAGGTTATGAGTTGCGCAAATGGTTGTCGAACTCCCCTCATATTTTGAAGGACCTCCCAGGAGAGGATCAACAAGACCCTCATCTATTCGAGCACCGTGAAAATCCTAATTTGTTGACTGTGCTGGGCATTCAATATCAGCCTGTTCTGGATACTTTCACGTATCGAGTCAAACTCGATCCCCCTCCTAAATAAACTGCCGTAGCCCGCACCTTCGATCCTAATGGATGGATCACTCCGGTCATTTTTTTGGTTAAGTGCTTCCTTCAAAAGCTCTGGATTAACCCGGGTTGGGTTCGGACGACCCTATAAGCGGTGCTCTCTTGCGAGAGTGGCACTCCATTGTGTCCTCCCTTCCGGACATCAACCGGGTATCCATGCCAAGGTGCTTCCTCCCTCCAGGGAGGTTGCACGCAGGGCTACCCTACATGGATTTTGCGACGCGTCTGAGAAAGGCTATGCTGCTGTCGTATATTTGCGGACCGTGAGCTCTTTTGGCCATACTTCCGTCCATCTCGTACTTGGTAAAAGCAAGGTTGCTCCCATTAGGTCCCGCTTAACTATCCCTAAATTGGAACTGTCCGGAGCCGCTCTTCTCACGCGACTCCTCAACCACGTTAACTCGTCTTTGAAGTCTGTAGTCGACATTACGGACGTCTACGCTTGGTCGGACAGTGAGATAGTACTTTGTTGGCTCAGAGCTGCGCCTCACAATCTAGAGGTCTTTTTGGCGAACCGCGTGTCTCAAATCCAGAATTCTGGGACGTCTCTAAACTGGAGACATGTCCCAGGGGAGTTGGATCCCGCAGACTGCGCTTCTCACGGCTGTGAAGCCCCCTATTTGGCTGACCACCCACTGTGGTGGGGTCCCAGTTGGTTGACCGAGTCTCAGTCATTCTGGCATTCATTAATACTCCGAACCGATTGAATTGCCTGGCCTACGAGCCCGAGTAGGAGTGGGAAGGATATGCCGACTCGGGATTTCTCCCTGCTAGAACGGAAGAGCTCTCTCGATAAGCTCTTAGGAGTGACTGCTTGGTAGCGTCGATTTGTCCGCAATTCAAAAGACCCGTCCAACCGAATCTCTGATTCCGTTTTGTCCCCTAGCGATCGTCGCGAAGCCTTGATGCATTGGACCCGTATGGTCCAAGCAGAGTATTTTGAGCCCGTGATTGAAACCTTGAAGCGGGGCTCCGTTGTCAAGGGCGCTCTGGCCCGCCTGAACCTTTTCCTGGACGACGCTGAGATGCTGCGCGTTGGCGGACGTTTGAAAAATTCTCAACTGCCGTACGGGGCTCGACACCCATTACTGCTCCCTAAGGACGGCGCCTTTGTTCGGTTGCTGGTAACTCACCATCATGTTCAGAATGCCCACGCTGGGTGTAACGCTCTTTCAGCTATTTTGCTGCGGGAGTTTTGGATTTTGGCTGGCCGACGCACCATCCGGAGCGTCATTAAGTGCTTACCTTGTTATAAACTGAAGGCCACCATATCGCAGCCTATGATGGGTGACTTATCACCCGACCGCGTCAGGGCCATCCGACCATTCGCTGGAGTCGGAACCGACTTTGCTGGCCCCTTCCTCGTCAAGTCTTCCAACCTTCGTAACGCGCGTTCACATAAGGCCTATCTGTGCGTTTTCGTGTGCCTCGCCACTAAGGCCGTTCACTTAGAACTTGTAAGTGCCCTCAGCACTGAGGCCTTTGTGGCCACGTTGGACCGCTTCGTATCGCCTCGCGGTTTGCCGAACCTGATCCGGTCTGATTGCGGAACGAATTATAAGGGCACGGATAGATATTTGAAAGAGGTCGTCGAATTTCTGTCCAGCAACAGGACTTATTTAGGTACTGCGATGTCCAAGAAGGGCATCCAGTGGAAATTCGACCCTCCGGCTTGCCCACACTGCGGCGGTATTAAGGTTGCTAAAACGCATCTCCGTCGCGTTATTGGCGAAACTATTTTGACATTTGAGGAACTTGCCACTGTATTCTGTAAAATTGAGGCGGTACTCAACTCTCGGCCCCTCTGTCCCCTCTCGTCCGATCCGAATGATTTGGAGGTTCTAACCCCGGGCACTTCCTGATTGGCCAGCCGCTTAACGCCCTGCCCGAGTACTCCTTCAGGGAAACAAACTCTTCGCGGTTGAACAGATTTGACTTGCTGCAACAAATGACTGAGTTTTTGGCACCGATGGTCTCTGGAATACCTACATCTTTTGCAGCAGCAAGTGGTCTGACAAGACGGATCCTCCTCGGGTTGAAGACCTCGTGTTAGTTAAAGAACCTACCTAACGCTTTGCCTTTGTACTGGCGCCGTGGGCGCATTGTTAAGTAGTCGTATGGACTGGATGGAGTGCCTAGGGTGGCCGAGGTTATGGTTGGAGATTCGGTCTTGCAACGTGCCGTCGCGACCCTATCCCGTTTGCCAATTTACTCGCGGTCATAAGTCCTTATGCCCGGGACGGGGGTTTGTTTAGGCCAAATTGTAAACAACTTAAAACTTGCAAAACACTCGTCTCGGGCGAGGAACCGGTTTGGCGGTTTGCGCGGGGGGTATTCATTCTGCGAGCTGCGGCAGCGCCGAATAGTCTAGATCAATCGATTGTCCGCGACGGGTGTGACAGTTAGAAGCGTTAGGTCGCGTTACGACCACACCCTTTGCGTGGTCTTATTTGTTAGTATACGTGACAACGAGGCTTTCCTTTAGTTTGAGTGATTTAATTTTAACTTCGATTGCCATTAATTTGCGTCGACGAGTTGCTTGTGTGGTATTTTAATATCGTACGAAGGAATTTTTGCTTTGTCGGGTGGAACGCAAAACCCGGGAGACGATCGCGTTCCTCTTCGATTATAGTTTTGTGCTAACTGACGTTAGACCTGAGTTCAGATAACGGTGAACGCCCACTGGAGTGATTGCACATTGTGGAGCAGGGCAACGCATGTGGGACTACTGGCCGATTACATCGGTGACGTCATATTACAGTACACACCTTCATACACCACTCACACCTATCATTTACTTACCCCTGACGGTACCTTGTGGTCGACCTTATCTACGTAACTCGGTAAGTGGTGCTTGCTTATTTGTCAGCCGTTTTTGGAACCGTTATCCATAGGCCATTGGGCTCCACCCTTGGTTGCTCGTCGAGGGGACCACTCATGGGCCCTGGTCCAGTCGACCTTTGTTGGGGCAACTAAGGGCGTGTATACCTATAGATAATTTTTCATTTATCATAGAGAAATATATAACATAAATTATTTTTGTAAAAATAAGTACTTAACTCATTGTAATTCATCAAATATAGAACATTGCTTTAAGAAAATTAACTTTGCAGTAGAAAAAACATTCTCTAGTATGGCAATGGGAAGTAGCATAGAAGGCGCGACAGGTAGTGATCATCAAGGTGCCTGCCAAGTGATGATTAAGGCAAGTACTTCATTATCACATTGACTGCCGTAGTGTAAATGAGAAAAATCACTAAAAAACTTTTTGATGAAAATAGGTGTGCAATATCAATACTTTAAAATGTATCTAATTTAGGGTTCAATCAGAAGCCGCGTTTAATAATTATTTCGAAAAAAACTACATGAGGCCACCGGTGACCTACGTGGCGCCTTGATAGTAAAAATGTGAATTTCCGTTACGGGGCGCCGGGCCGGGCACTTCTCCGATCACCCGCACCCCGCAGTCATCTGTTTGCGCTTAGACAGTATGCCCGTGACGGACACTCGTGCTTTTTAATTTGTTAGATTTTGTGATTCAACATGGAGAATAGTAATGATTTAGACGAGAATTTTATAGATATTTCATTAGATGATTTGCGCGACATTGAGTTACTGGAAGCTAGTATTTTTGATGAAATTGCTAGAAAAAATTATTTGAGTGAAAATAAAGAATCAGAGATTGAAGATTATAATATCTATCCTTCAAAAAAACGCAAACGTTTATTCCTAGTGCATCTGAGAGTGAAAGTGATGACGTGGAAAAATTTGTAAATAAAAACATTGATAGATTAACGGCGAGTACGTCACAAAAATGGCTTCAACCAAAAGGACATCAACCATCTGTTATAGCGTTTACAGAAGTAACAGGTATATTATATTATTTTATTTGTTTGTTTTGTTTTTGGTTTGTTCTATTTCAGAATATAAGATATCAAATTTCATCAAGATTCGTTCAACCATTGTCAAGATTTTAGGTAACAAAGTGTTGCTTTTTACGATTTTATTATAGTAATAGATAGATAGACGATAGATATCTATATATAAATAAAACCCATGTGGCATAAATTGCCGCGAGCGCTACCGGGTTCGATTCCTAGGTCGGTAATGTTTCTGTGTTGATATTTGTACATTATGTATCGGTCGGTTTATTCGGTCGGTCGGTAATGTTTCTATGTTGATATTTGTATATTAAACCGTATTATGATAAGGTATATATTTGTTTAATTTCAGGTATGAGAGAACCACATACTACGCAACTTCGAAATGCTGCTCCAGGAGAATATTTTAGCCTGATGGTTCCGGATGAAATTTTCGAAGAAATTGCTATTCAAACCAATTTGTTTGCAGAGCAACAAGGACCTAGTGAAAAGCCTTCGTCTCGCTCAAATAACTGGAAAGCAACCACAAAAGTTGAGATAAAACGGTTCTTCGGATTAATCTTATATATGGGACTTGTTAAAATACCTAAAATAAACCTTTATTGGAGTACTGACAGGGTTTTTGGGCAAATCTTTGCTGCATCGGTTATGAGCCGTAACAGATTTGAATTACTATTGCAGAAACTGCACTTTACGAATAATGATACGGCTGATGTGTCTGACAGAATTTACAAAATACGACCCCTTTTAGATAGTTTAAACAAAACTTTTAAAAAATATATATGCACCTAAGGAAGATATTTGTATTGATGAAAGCCAAGTGCCTTTCAGAGGTCGCATCATTTTTAGACAATATAACAAAAGCAAGATGCACAAATATGGTATGAAGTTATTTAAACTTTGTACATTACCAGGATATACATGCAAATTGGAACTGTACGCTGGCAAAAATAATGAACTAGTGAATACCACACCTACAAGAGTGGTAATGTCTCTTTGTAAGCACATACTGGGCTGTGGTCACACACTTGTAACTGACAATTGGTATACAAGCTTGGAGCTGGCCAATGAACTACTCGATAAGGACACTCATTTGGTGGGTACTTTGAGGAAAAATAGAAAAGGTTTGCCGAAAGCGGTAGTAGACTCAAAATTAAAACCAGGCGAAGTAATAGCTATGGAGAATGAACGAGGAATATGCGTATTGAAGTGGAAGGACAAAAGAGACGTGCTGATGTTATCCACGAAACATTCTAAAGGATTTTCTAAAATAACTAAAAAGGGTAAAGTAATTCGCAAACCAAGAATGGTTTTAGCCTACAACAAAATAAAAAGCGCAGTTGATATGAGCGATCAAATGGCCGCATATTCCTCACCATTACGTAAATCGGTGAAGTGGTATAAAAAATTAGGAATAGAACTTATATTGAATACAGCGATTGTTAATGCATGGGTTATGTACAACGAAAATAAAAATAAAAGTGAAAGTATAGTACAGTTTAGAAGAGAGTTAGTGGAGTATTTAGTTGATGCAGGAAAGGAGCAGACCATAGAACCCGAAAGAATAGATAGACCAAAAAGACTGAAACATCAATTATTGAAAAAAAGAGGGTAATGTGAGAAACACTCGACGATTTTGTTCAGAATGTTACAAAAACTGTGTGGCAATGTACGGTTCAAAATCAGCCAAAAATAAAACAAAGAAAGTAGCAACATTTTGTAAAGAATGTCCAAATGAACCATATTTTTGTTTAATGTGTTTCAATAAGTTCCATCGCTTCGTTTAATTTGTATTTTAGAATAATTTGTTACTTGTTTTTTACTTATATTTCACACATTGATAAAAATAAATCCTTGATTTTTGTGACAGTTACGTTTTTTCACTTACTTTCTTCATTTTTGTCCCACAATTCTCACAATTTCATAGACACGCCGAAACCACGCTGAAGTAACAATCTAGAGCGCCGCTCCGGTCACTTGCATATACTAAATGTACGATAAACGTGGCCACCGGCGTAATAATTGTGCCCGAAAACAGGTCTGTCTCGAGGTCACCGGTGACCAAGTAGATGCGTAGATACAAGACGGGGTCCGGTCACCGGTGACCGGGCTGGCAGTCAACGTGTTATAATGGAAATGAACCATCGAGCAGTGAACTTTTATTAATAAGAAGTATAATAACGTGGACCATGTAGTAGCGGTGTAAGAATATCCACTGCCCTGTATACCTACCTACGGGACGGGTGTTGTAAAATTCAACAGAGGTAAACAGAAACAGGAGTTGGGCAGCGGCATCTTGCTGATAACAACTCAGACTAATAAACTGCGGTTGTCAACCTGCCAAGTGTGGCAAATTTGGCAAAATCCCTCATATGAAACAATTTAAGAGGGACTTGTACAGGTTTTAATGAATGGAATAAATAATACCATGGACCCTCCTGCAAGCAACTGCTCCAGAACTGCATTGGACTCAATAGCCTGTTGTTGCAATCTCCTGCAACAAACGCGTCTTGCATGACAGGTGAAATAGACAATTATGGGCTCCTCATCCTCATCCCTCTGAAAATATGAAACTTTGTCATAAATATGGGAAACTACTTAAATATACAAGTTAGTAATAATATCTATTGGCTACCACAATTCTCTTCATCAACACCATTTTTTATAATATTGAAGTAACTGGCTCTCAATGATCTTCAGGCCGGGACACATACTGCTGCTTGTGGCAGAAACAGGTAAGAGGATGACACTGCCCAGGCAGACTTCCAGGCAGAAACAAGTCCTACCACACAGTGAATCATCATCACAGCAACAACACAGTCCTAAACCACCTAAATCCATTCACTTTCTGTCTAACCAGATTGCCACTATCTAGTGGGGGTCTACGAGAATTATGTTTCCGTTTCTGATGTCAGTTCTGCAAGCTATATGGACACAATTCTCTAATTGATTTAAAACATTAAGTGTCAAGTACATAAGAGTCTCCCTGATTTTAACAGATAACAATTTAAAAGCAGTAGATTCACACTTTTGGAACCCTGACGGTGCTATTTACAAGTTTGGGGCTTTCAAAATTCAATCCACTAAACCTAAATTAAAAATTTAACTTCAAACTACCTCACTATTAGCATTAAAAATACTTCTCTCATTTGCTCCAAGTAAACTGAAAATGCTTGCACTAGGAGTAATTTACAACAATAGTCAAACGGCAGATTTGAAATTACTATTTTACAGAGTTTGCAGTCCGCACCTTTCACTATTACACCCTGTCACTTAGTTCAAATGCATATGGGCGCAGCAACATTTTTGCACATAACAGGTCAGAGTAATAAAAAAACTGCAGTTGCCAACCCACCTAGCAACCATGACAAATAATAATAATCATCATTATCATCATTACAGCCCTTCACAAGTCCACTGCTGAACATAGGCCTCCCCCAAGTAATGCCACAAAGCACGGTCCTGAGCCACCTGCATCCATCGACTTCCTGCATGTCTTACCAGGTCGTCACTCCATCTAGTGGGGGTCGCCCTTCACTACGCCTACCGGTACGAGGCTGCCACTCGAGAACCTTTCTTCCCCATCGGTTATCGGTACTTCGAGCTATATGGCCGGCCCATTGCCACTTCAGCTTACTAATCCGTTGGGCTATGTCGGTCACTCTGGTTTTACTGCGGATATCCTCATTTCTGAGTCTATCACGCAGAGAAACTCCGAGCATAGCCCTCTCCATAGCTCGCTGAGCGACCTTGAGCATCCTCATACGGCCAGCAGTGAAGGACCACGTCTCTGATCCGTAAGTCATCACTGGCAACATGCACTGGTTGTACACTTTAATTTTCAGAGATTGAGGTATACCTGACGAGAAGATGTGTCGTAATTTCCCGAACGCTGCCCAGCCGAGTTGAATCCGTCGATGAGCAACGACGCAAATAATAATAATACCAGAAATTATTATTATTTATATATATTAGTATATAGTCAAAATAGGTTGAATATATAAAACATATATTCAACCTATTTTGGAATATGCCTTCCAAATATATTGCGTTACTGGTGGTTCAAGGCAGATATTCAAAAGTTCCTAGAGCATTGAAAACATACCATATGAGGAAAGTCTGAAAACACTTGAACTAACAACTCTGGAAGATCACAGAGAATTAGGAAACTTGATTGAAACATATAAAATAATACATGAACAGTATGATTTTCACTTTAAATTAACTAAAGCCATGTCACCTAATAACTCACCTTTTTTAGTTAAAGTGGTTGAAGTATGGAACAAGCTGCCAACAAAAGTGATATCAACTCAAACCACAAGCCAATTTTAGAACAGATTGGACAAACAAATAAAATAGAACAACTACAAATTTGAATACAGAGTTATATCAGTTGTTTCTTCAACTGCTAGCTTGCTAAATAATTTGTTTTTATAGAATTTATGGGTGATTTAAGTAAACGAGTACACAGTCCACTTGATGGCAAGTGACTGCTGCGGCCCATAGACATCTAAATTTACCTCAATTAATTGTTGCCCTTGAGGAGCAAGATTCAACACCTCATCACCAGTATATATGGTCTCCCTTTCTTTACACTCACCGTACGAAACAGCATTAGCTGCTATTTTATGATGGTGTTCTGTAAGAGCATGGTACATCCCCCGTCGAGCCGACCCATCCGTGATACAACCACAATATAGCTGCAGCATAACTCTACTACATATAAAATGATGATAATAATGACCTACAGACAGAATTTGGTCACAACGGAGATTATTCATCAGCGAAGGACAGGATTTTATTACATGTGTGCAAGTAAGCAGATGTGCAAACTGTTACGTCTTCTGATTTCTCAGTCTGATATGAATGAGTGAGGTAGTTTCTACGTCTTAAAGCACATGTGCACTTACTTAATAGTTCAATAGAACGACTTTAAGTGGGTAAAACTACTGTGATTTTAGTGCGACGTAGGATTCCAGCTTAATTGTTGTTTTACAGGTACTGGTTGTATTTGTCACTTTATTTAACGCTGCACCTTAGTCACTGACCTCTATATATACAAGTACGCTGGACTGGCTATACCATTAGGCGTGTGTAACTCTTTACGGAACCGACTCACTGATCCAAATCACTGAAATGATTCATAAGATTGGTTCAGTAACAACGTTTCAAATGTATCATTTGGATCTGAAACATTACTTCGCTCTGTGCTCTTTTCACGCGACGCGTTGATCGCGAAGCGAGTTGGTTCCGTTTCAAATGCATCATTTGGATCTGAAACTGGAACATTACTTCGCTCTGTGCTCTTTACACGCGACGCGTCGCTCGCGAAGCGACTGGGCCGTGAGCGAGAGAGTGGCGAGTGAGCGGGCGAAATAATCACAATCTATACAAGTCAGAAAGAGATAACAAAAGAGTACTGTATCACTCAACTCGTACGGATTTTCGCTATCGTTATTCATGCACGTAAAAATGACCATTAAGGAGCTTACGTATCAAATAATATACGGTCGTTTTTTGCATGTAATGTTTGCATTTAACAAGTTGTCATTTTACGTTGATATGGCACTTGTCAAATTGTTTATGTTATGTTCGTTCGCGCCTGTTTACAAAAACATACTGAGTTCGGTTTAAAGATTTCTTTGCGTAGTGATTAATATTGTGACTTACTTTCTTCCTTTTCATCATAAAGTTAGGGTTATGAGACTTCATGAGAGAATACTGTGTTAATAGACTTTGTTGTTTTATTCAAATGGATATTTTTCTTTGTGTAAATAGATATTGTTTTTCTGTGTAAATAGATTTAGTTTGCTAGTTTTTAGTGACTTTTGTCTCGGACTCTTAGTGAACAGTGAATGAGTGAATAATATTTGTATTTATATAAACATTCTACGTGTTCGTACTTTGTGGTACCTGAATTTCTAAGGTAAAGGTATAAAACCTATATATTAACTAAGACATTTAAGTATTTTCTTACCTATAAATTATTAACATGCCTCCAACAAGAAAGAGAAGTGCATTGTGGAACCATTTTAGTGAGCTTACGGACAACAAAGCTAAATGTGGTTACTGTGCACAAACTTTGAGTATACCCAATAAATCCATCGGTAATTTGAGCAGGCACATGAGACTAAAACATCCTACAATTCAAATACAATTAAGCAGACAACAGAATACAATTCAACAGCAGTCATCAACATCAATACTAGACCCAGTACCATCTATGTCATCATTTACATCTCTATCTCAAAATGAACTACCTGCAACGTCACATATCTCCCTACCGTTAACTTCTCATGGACCACCAAAACAATCCACTATGACAGAATTTATTCACAAACCCGTGCCTGTTAAAAAAATAAATGAGATCGACAAACAAATTATCAAAATAATTGTCAAAAATTATCACCCATTTTCGCTCGTAGAGCAACCAGAAATCAAAGAATTGTTCGCCATGATTATTCCTGGTTATAGCTTACCAACTAGAAAAACTGTATCAAACAGTCTTTTGCCAAAAATGTATCAGGAATGTTTGGAAAAAGTTCAGGTTAACATAGACTCCGCATGGGCTGTCTGTCTAACTACCGATTCCTGGACGTCGATAAATAATGTCAGTTTTGTTTCTGTCACCGCCCATTATTTAGATAATACTTACATTATGAGGTCATATCTTTTAGATTGCTTTTCATTCTCTGACAGACACACGGCAAAAAATTTGTGCCAATCTTTGCAGGCAAAAATTGTCGAATGGAAGATACAAAACATAGTCGTTGCTGTAGTAAGTGACAATGCCGCTAATATCTCGGCTGCAATTAGGATGGGCGGCTGGAAACATATCAGATGTTTTGCTCATTCTGTAAATTTGATTGTACAATCAGGTTTAAAAGATATTAAAAATACTGTCTTAAAAGTGAAGTCTATTGTAGAATATTTTAAAAGTAGTTCGTCAGCATTAACAAAATTAAAAGAAATCCAACAGCAAATGGGTCTTCCAGAATTAAAGTTAAAACAAGACGTAGTCATACGATGGAACTCGACACACGATATGTTAAATCGATTCCTTACATTAAAAGAGGCCATAATTTCTACTGTGGCAATACTCGGCACAGATCTGGAAATGTTAACACCAGAAGACTGGAAAATCGTTGACCTCGCGATTAAAATATTGGAGATATTTTACAACGTCACAGTAGAGATGAGTTCAGAAACACAAGTTACTTTAAGTAAAGTAATTGTGTTGACAAAAATTATGATAAAACACGTTAATAAGCGTATTAATGAGGACACTGGATTACCTGCGCAAATAATATTATTATTGGACACCCTGAAGCAGCAGTTGTCGGATAGATTCCAAAACATTGAATCCAACCCTCTGTACGCGGAAGCAACAATTTTGGACCCGCGCTTCAAAGGTTTCGCGTTCAGAGAACAAGAAAAATTTAATATAGCTGTAACGACCTTAAGACGACGTTTAGCAAATACAGCTACTGAGACGGTCCGTGGTATTACCACGGAGACAACATCTGTAACTATGGCTGAAACCGCAACTCAACCTGTGGCCGCAACATCAGCATCGCTTTGGGACGATTTTGATGCTGAACTGAGTCAGCATCTCAGACCGCGAAATCAAATGGCAGCAGGAATAAGAGAGCTAGATAAATATTTAAATGATGAAATGCTGCCTAGAAATCAAGATCCCTTAATTTGGTGGGAAAGCAGAAAAGGAATTTATCCTATTCTGCACCAATATGCAAAAAAGAGATTTTGCATTACTGCAACATCTGTTCCATGCGAACGCGTTTTTTCAAAGGCAGGTCATATTTTGAATACGCGTCGAACAATGCTTAAAGATGATAAGGTTTCAAAAATGCTATTTTTAAATTACAATTTTAAGTAAAACCATAAAAAAATGAAGAAAAAAAAAGACTGTAAATATTATCAAAAAAATCACTGTAAATATAATCGATTTTTAAATACGCCAGCTGGCCATAAATTAAGGACTAGCCGCCAGTCCTAAGCCTGGATAAAGTACGAAGGGGAATCGATTTTGTATACAATCTTATTACAGAACACAATAAATAACCTAAGCACTTAATTAATTCAGCATTATTGCCACATAACATTTCACTGACTCGGTCAGTAATAAACGCCCGCAACGCAATGTACTCGTAACTTTCTGTATTTTATATCTTTTGAGTCGATGATTCAAATGAGCCAAATGAAACATATCAGTGTTTCGGAACATTTCAGTGATCGAGATGCAAATGTTCCAATCGCAAAAATGATACACTTTGCCCACCTCCATATACCATACAAAATGACTGTGCCAATTTGAAGCGCCGCTAAAGGATGTCTTGAAAAATAAAATTGACATATTATGCCAAAGTCTGTTGTCTTATTTATATTGTCATATTTAAAAAATCTGTATTTTGAACTTTTAAACTAAAAAACGAAAGTATTTTATGTTGTTTGATTGTGTATAATATTAGTTTTACATAATAAGAATTATTTTTATTAATAATGAGAGTGTGTGTAATCTGTGAAACTCGTTACCAAAAGGGAAGTGGTGTAACATTTCACATGTAAGTGAATTTGCAGCAAATATTAAACAAATTAAAACTATTTGATAATATAAGTACTTAAAAATTTGTTACTAATCTTAATATCATTTATACCAACATGTTTGGCTGTATATTACTGAGTTTTGATAAACAATAAAATTCAATAGGGTTGTCGAGTTCCTTGTCTATAATACTTATCGATGTTCTTTCCTACCAATATCTGTTAATAAACAAAGTCGCCAACAACAGATGATTATCAAAAGTTTATTAATTAACAGGTTTCCAACTGAACCTAGACTCAAATTATGGCTTAAAACCATAAATATTGTGAATTGGCGTCCGAAACAAAATAATCATATTTGTTCCAAACATTTCATAGACGACTGTTTTATTAGACATGAGAACTGCACCACTTTGAAAAAGTGCAGATACCGACAATATTTTGTGGTAGTACCAGTACCAGTAAGTATAAAAGCATTAGATTATTATTTAGAATGTTTTTATTTCTTCTTTCCTAATTTTCCACCAAACTCAAGGGCCATAGCCAAGTGTCGAAAGGTCGCCTAATGATGTCGAGCCACGTTGGATGTGTGTTAGCGGGCTGCGGCTAGAAGAGATTCCTCTCCCTGTACCGCTGTAGTTTAGGTGGAGTAGTAAGGGAAGAGGAGTGTTGGTATGGCGATTGGCGATACGCCACTCGACTATCTTTCGCGACTTTGGTGAGGCTGCACCACTTGATGCTTCCAAGTGCTCGTTTTTCCCTGGCTCCATTCAAATATCGGGCTTGGGGAGTCCGTAGTGCAGGTGGAGTTAGAGGCCGCGAAGGGCAGTGTGGCTTGTGTTTCTGGTGCGCCTTATCTGAGAATGAAAACGGGGAGGAGAAGTCAGCAACTAAGGAGGGGCTGCCATTGGGCGGCTGGCGCCAGAGGGGCCGCGGATGTGCATGAAAGCGTTTTCGTGGCCCTGCCAATTTGCGGCGGAGGTAGAACACCATGGGGTTTTAGTAAGTGCGATCTAGAGATTTAATTCTCTCTCAATTGCAGGCATGTAATATTATGAGTACATATTTGTGCTATTTGCTGTAGAGACTATTGGTTCGGACTGTAGAGACTATTGGGGTGCACGTGCGGTGTAGTTCCTAAAAAACTGTATCTGCGACTGATCATCACTGCTGGTAATAAGAAGTTGTTTAGTTTGTTGCTTCCTCGCTTGAAGGCTAAGTATAGCCATTCAGAGATGACACGTAGCCAGCATTCTTGGGACAATACCACGGAAAACAGGACTGTATGTTAATTTCAGTTTTTTTTTATATTTGTAACTTTAATTTCGAAAATGACGTAAATAACGACTTTGTAATTCAAAGTTTTTTTTTTAAATATTATCTTGTTAGCTCGTACCCGGCGCATTGCTGCCGCAGAAGAAATAGTTGTGGAAATATCGTTAAAAATGTGGAACAGTTATATTGTATAATTAGGAATGATAATACAATCATTGAAATAGAATGATATATAACTTTCTATAACTTTCAAATAAATAGACAGTATAATACGCACGCCACCTAATGTCAGTTAATTGTACCATGCGTATAACCTTCGCACAAGTGCAACCAATAAGTTGACTAAGTTTTACCGCAATCTGATGAACGGTATAGCATCGTAGAAAGTACGAACTAACATAAAATTTCATATAGTAGAAAATATTTTACTGTCTATAGACAAACCTATAGTTGATAAGAATAAGCGTTATTATAGCAGCTGATTTGTATTTCTTTATAATACTAGAACTAAATGAACGGTTGACAATAAATTATATTAGAAACTATGTTTTTTATTTTTATTTCGTGTAGATAGTATCTTAATAATTTTTTAGTTGAATGGTCTAAGGGCTACTGGTGGAGCGTCGAGCCTAAGGTTGCCGAAGTCTAATTCCCTGGTCGAACCTTAGAACCTATTACGCGAGCTATTAATCTAAGTGGACTGTATCTACAAAATGTTTCTACACTTATATAAACGGCGACTATAGCATGCGGTACAATGCACTCGCTCTTCCCTAAAATGAACTATTATTTGCCAAATCGATGAAAGAAATCCTGCTTGATTAGGAGAAAACAAAATTGGAGCGGGTTAAAACACAATTATATCAAGCAGGCAATATTATTAGCAATATTGACTCACCGGGGTGTCTCTTCTATGCTGTTGGGCACTATAGCTGCGACTTCTGGAACTTCTTCTGGACAGACACTCTGGAGAGAGGCGGTGCGCGACTATATCACACACGAGGTGAGGCGGATTTCCTGGAGCTCGACTGCTTCCAGGCTAAAGCGGTTCTACTAGCGGTGTGGTTCCAACAACGAGCGCGGCGGGAAGAGGCTGCGCGTCGGTCGCGCGTGCCTTTTATTCCTTCGGTTGCGATGATTACGTGATATTTTAGAATCATCTTCTTTCCCCTCCCACCCCAACACCCCGATGTGTCGATAGGAGGGTATGAATGATATCGTTTTGGAAAGGGATAAGCGATTTGGCAGGCTACCGTCAAAATAAATAAATACGAATGGTTTTCCGCGCAACCATCTCCCCCCGCCCTTGAAGGATTTCCTTCAAAAATAACTAAAACAACTAGAGCTAAGATCAAACTAACAAAATAACTAACTAACGCTAAGATTACCTAAATTCAACTACAATTTTAATCTAGAAAGCTAATTTAAATTATGGAAGAGGCGGGGGGCACAAACGGACAACAGGACGCAGGTAAGACCCAACCGTGGTCTTAACGCGAGCTACCCTAATTACTCCGTCGGAACCGGGAAAGACCTCTTCGACAATTCCTAACGGCCAGTGGAGAGGCGGCGTATTCTCTTTGGTGAGCACAACTACAGTTCCTACAGCTAAAGGCTCAGTTGCTGTGTTCCATTTTTGCCGAGACTGCAAAGTATGCAAGTATTCCATCCTCCATCGTTTCCAAAACGATTGCACTAACCGGTCTAATAATTTGTGGCGTGCGGAAATGCAAAGTCTGTTCTCATCCTTATCTACGGCGGGCAAATACTTTAAAGGCGTTAAATTCAAAAAAATGTGCTGGAGTTAGAGCCAGCGGTTCCGAGGGGTCACTAGACAACGTACGACAAAGTGGGCGGCTATTCATTACGCATTCGATTTGAGCGAGCACCGTACTTAGCTCTTCGAAGGACAAAATTTGATCTCCTATTACTCGGTATAAGTGACTCTTTAGACTCTTAATATTAGTCTCCCAATTGCCCCCAAAATGACTCGCGGCTGGGACGTTCAGAGACCACTCAATGCGGTTCTCGGCTAGAATGTGAGCGAACTCCGAATTATAATACTTGCTAGCTAAGAGTTCATGTAGTTCTGATAAAATACGTTTTGCACCGACGTAGTTCGTACCGTTATCCGAATATAATTTACTTACAGGGCCACGGCGGGATAGAAATCTTTTAAATGCACCCATAAAGCCTGCTGTGCTTAGATCACCAACGAGTTCTATATGCACCGCTCGAGTAGTTAGACATACGAAAATGCAGACGTAAGCCTTTGTGGATCTTATACCACGCCCGCGAGTGAGCGTGACCTTAAACGGACCAGCGAAATCAGACCCGGTGTGCGTAAAGGGCTTTACTGATTGTATTACTCTACAAGATCTAAGTTCCGCCATTTCTGGAAATGACGGCTTGGGGCGTGCCCGAAAGCAAGCTATACATCTGTGCACCCGATTGCGTATTAAACTACGTGCAGAAAGAATCCAATAATTCTGACGCAAGATCGACATCAGCAAGTCGGGGCCAGCGTGCGAATTCAATTTATGATGGTAATCGACTAATAAATTCATGATATGGTCTTTGCGCGGTAAAACTATAGGGTGCCGTTGGTCGAAACTCAACTGCGAGTTGGACAAGCGTCCACCTACCCTTACAATCCCATCCTGTAAAAATGGCTTAAGGCGTTGAAAGGCGCGACTACAAGCTCTATTCGATTATAATCTTGTAATTTCTTCAGAGAAGTGTGCACGTTGAAGTTCACGTAATACTAGCGACTCGGCATAGTTGTAATCGGACGCTAAGACATACGAACGTCGCGGTAAAAGCTTCGCGAATCGACAAACGTAAATTACGCTACGCAATAATTTTCACCA